CATCATTGAAGGAAAAGTATTATCTGTCTTAATCTTATGTTTAATAGAGTCTAAATAGCTGGGTGAGGTCTTGGAGGACCATGTCAGGGTTAATGTAGCTGTATTGTATGCTTCTTTTCCAAGATCCTCTCTGGAAGAAAGATATATTTTCACTATAAAAAATACTGATATAATTTGCCAATTGAGGGTCACCAGCATCATCATGAAAATTCACAAATTATGTTTTGGTAGCCACAGAGGTGTGACAGAGGTGGAGAGTTGGGTAATGTTGGTGTCACTGACAAGTCATGTTCTTTAGAGACATGTAGGGAACATGAGCACAAGGCATAATCTTGGAGGTGGAAGGGAGAGGGTCAAAGAAGAGATGCCTTTGCTCAGGCCACCTTCCCCATTTTTGGTCATGCCTCTCCAGTGGATTCTGGGGATTCAGATTTGGGGGTCTGGGGATTCAGGCCTCTTAGTCAGGAGCTCTGCATTCAGTAGGTTTGGTACTGCTCATCAAAGGTCCATGATGAATATATAAGATGTTTTATGTTGCCTTTGGGAATTGTGGGAAAGGGATGAAGTTTCAGTCTAGTTCTCAGATACTGAACTAGGCCAGAAAATTCCTGGTTATGGGCTAACTCCTAGATTTTTTCTGGACTATATTTATCATCAGTGTTTGTCAAAGGGTAGAAGCGCAGAATCAAAAAGTATCCTGGAACATGGTACAGTGGCTTCTTAACTACTTACGTTCCTGGTACCCTTAGACACTCTTGCTCTTCCATTTAAAAAAACATCACCAAAAAGAAACATTTTATATTTTCAGAACTGAAACAATAATGAGAGGCAAGCATAGAAAACTACCGGACTTCCTTTGTCAGCATTTCAGATTTCAATACTGTGAAATTATCCTGGGAGTTGTTATCTTTCAAACTTCAGGTAGTTAAACATAAAACACGTTCTGTTACTTAAGAATTTGCTGACATTTAATGCCCTTTTTCCTCCAAATGAATGCAGGGGTTACATTTCTGAGTTAATAAAGGATCTGGGAAAGATGTATCCTTGAGCATTACTTACCACTATCTTTCCACAATCTAACTTTTTTGCCATAACCCTCCCACCCACACACACCCTAGCCCTTCCTCATCTAACTTGAATCACTCTATTCTTCTCCAAGAGAACACACCCCAGTAATAGCAGTGAATCATAGGCACTTTTGCTTCTCTAGTCTTTAATGGACTTGACAAAATGCCAGATTTGATAGAATAAAAGGACAAGAACTTCAGGATTTCTCTTTTCAGATAGGAACCAAAAGAGAAAATTCTTTAGGTTCTTGTTCAGTATATTACCCTCAGTATTAGTTACCAGATGAGTTTTCTAGTTGTTTGGTGGTGGACAGGTTGTTATCACACGAATGCTATTGACGCTCCCTGTATCTCCCTCCATGCTCTAAGTAGCCATTCTGTTCAGGAAGGCAACCTCTCAGGCATGCCTAATAGTTAAGTCAAGGGCTCTTTCATCTTGAGGTTGAAAATAATCCTTTCTTTCTTAAGTTGGCTAAAGAATATTAAACAGTTAGCCCACAAAGGTCACTCTTTGATAATAAAGTCTTAACAGTCTTTATAAGTGTGTCAATTATACATTATAGAATTCCATAAGAGATCTTTAGGTAATAGAGAAAAATAAAAGAAATAGTTTGTCAATTACTCAAAGGAAAATTTATGGGATAACAGAGCAATGAAACACATCTTTGCCATGGATAGGTCTATAAGATGAGACTTGAACTCATGGCCACAGCACTTTTTGAAGGCAGTTTTCAACTTACATACAAATTTCATAAGAAATATTGAAAGCCAGGGGAGAGAATTTAGTAGACTTTCTGTGGGTGTCATAAATTTGTATTAAATTCAGTTCATTTAACTTGCCCTAATAGACATTATAAATCAACTTAATCCTGTGGATTTTACACAATTCCTCAGCTAAGTGGATTTTAAACCTAGTTTTAAAAGTGTATATTTATATTTTTGCTTAAAAAATACCTATGGATATATATATATACATATATATATGTGTGTGTATATATATATATATGTCTACATGATACAAAACTTTTTGTCAATATAGAAAATTCAGTGGAATGGAATATAGGTCATCCTCAGATTACTGTTGAGATTTTAAAAATAATGCTAAAGCCAAGGATTTAAAAAAATACATCTATTGAAATTAAATTTTAAATTGTGGCTCAGAATTGTATGTGTGTGTGTTTGTGTATATGTGTATTTGTTTGAGATAGAGAGAGACACTATTCACTATTCTCTTCTTGCTATTAAAAAAAATTAAAAACCTCATAAAGAATTTTAGGCCTATGTCATCATCCCACCAACAATAATCACAGACAGGAACAGGAGCATTTTACCACTCCCTGATGAATAACAAAGTGGTTAACAGTAGCCTTGGGTATTGAAGAAATTTAAAAACACACAGAGAAAGACTGCCTTAGGTTGATACTAATTACTATTATCACTGAATTCTATTGCTCAAAAAATTGTCTATGGTAGAGTAAGGAGGTCTTGCCTTGTGATTCTCTGGAGGAGTATTTTCCCTGAGAAGTTTCATATGAAATATACAGAGTCCTGTGTCAGAAAAAACAAACTCCTTACATGCCAATAGATTTCAGGATCCTAAGGACACGGAAATGTTTGCTAGGCTTTATCTAAAGGTACAATGAAAACTGTAAGGGCTGTATTCCAGATCTCTTACATTAATCAAGAGTGGAAGGTATGTTTACATTTGGGGAAGTGATAGAAGTAAGTGAAACATACTTTTATATGGAAATATCATGCAATTCTTACAACACATGGAAGTCAGATATGAAGGTCAACAAATGCACATTTCTGAAATGCATGCTTTTCTAAGTACATTGAAAATCTGGCCAAAACAATCCATTTAATATACTAGTTCACATAATAAACAAGTCAGAACATTTGCAAGGTGAAATGTTGTTTTCCTTTATGCAGCCAGCAAAAACAAGAGCTCTAAGCTTAGGCTGTAATGATAAAAGGATTTTGAAGCAGATGATTTTAGGAAATTATAAAAACAACCCAACCTTATGCCCCAAGGTATAAAGAATATGCAGCGTCTGCATTGTGCGTCTAGTGTCAAGACAAATGATTCTGCTTTTTCAGTGTGAGTAACTGATGCCCATGGATGAGTAAAGGGAGAAATAAATGTATAGGCTGAGACCTATGGCTTGGTGAGGTGAATAACAGCTGCATCACAAAATTGTGAGTTCTCTCTTCCATTCTGGAAATTCCTTGAAGGTTTTGTAATTTTTGAAAAATGTGTAAGTGAAATACATACTATTAATTGTATGTGGAGACTCCAAGTTTTCGGCTACTCATGGCTTAAATTGTGAGGAAGCATACAGATCACATCTTTAAAAAATAAATCTGTGGTCTTTTTTTGGGAGGTAAGTGAAGGGATGAGAGAATTGTGATGTATCCCTTTAAATAAACTAGGGATGGTGAATATAGTTGTATATATAAAATAGTAACTATTAAGTGTTCCCTAGATATCTACTGCTGTTCTGCCTATGAATTCTCATTTAATCCTCCAATTGCTAAGAGGTCAACTTTATGCCCATTTCACAGATGAGAAAACCTAGACACAGATACTACATTACAAAGCACATAAAATAAAGGTGCAGGATTTGAACCAAGGCAATTTGACGCTAACAATTTCAATCACTATATTCGATTGTCTTCAGGTTCGGTATTTATATCCTGCTGCTTAGGACTCAGTTAATTCCTCCTGCGTCCTGGCTACTTCTAAGCCATTTTTATCCAATTTATTAGTGAAGAGGCAGTGTCATCGTTTAAAGTGGCCATTCACCAAGACTGAGAACACTGGCTCCTAAAATTCCCAACTTTCACGTGACTCAAATTACTCAGAACCGTCTCTTTCACTTAAACCCAGTGCTCCACCCAATTTAGTTAACTTTATGGTTGCACAGCAACAGAACGTCGCCCCACAGGAAACGAAGAGAATTATTTTAGACTAAGGATGCCGCTGTCCAGTATTCAGCAAAGGCCGTATTGGCCTCAAACATCTGAATTCTGGGCCAACACAATTTTATTTAGTGATTGTTCTGTTTCCTGTATTGCACCACAAATTTCACTAGACTACATTTTCTCTCAGATTTGACTAAAAGATTGAAGGCCAAGCTAAGCAATCTAACTCTTGAGTTAAATACAGTAGTAAAACTCATGGAACCGCCGACTTTGCGACAGCGAAGGCTAGAAATAAGCTCAACCGCATGCGCCGGGGCTCCTGGGAGATTTCTAACGTGTTCGAGTCCCCGTAGGCCATTTAACCCAGAGCTGATCTTTCGCCTCTGCGTTTAGTTTACAAGCTGTGCATTTCACACACAGACGGCCCTGCGGCTTTTGCCTCCGTCGGGTCTGAGAAGGGACTCCGCTGTGGTGGGCCGAGAGAGCTGACTGACAAGAGCCAGGAGAAAACGGGAGGAGGGGGTTCTCTCAGGCGTACTTCACACACACAAAACCCAAGAAGCAGGACAGGCTGCGATACACAGCAAGAGCAGGGAGGGGAGGCAGAGAAAACAGGCGTGACCCCGCCAGGGGCTCTAGTCATTCGGAAGCTCAGCTCGGCCCAAGAGAAAGCCAGAAGTTCGCGGCCGCGCGCTCTAAATCCCACAGCTCCTCGGCGCTGGGCGGAGCAGAGCCGCGCGCGTCAGTCAATCCGGCCAATCATGCATATCTGCTGCCTCCCTCGTGCGCTGCCCCGCCCCCGTCCCCTAACGGAGGCTTGAGGCCGCGCACGCGCAGCCTCGCGTGCTTCAGGCGGGGAGCGGCGCGAAGAAGCCTGCGTCAGTCAATCCGGCCAATCCCATGTCTCGTCCGCCCCCAGCGTGGCCCCGCCCCTGAGCAGGCCCCGCTCACGGCTTCGGCTGCGCGCGTTTTCTACGCTGGGAATACCGTAGGGAGGTATCGTGTGGGGAGGCGAGGGGACGGCCTAGAGCTGGCCTCCTCTGGGGGTCGGGTGTGGAGTCAAGTAGAGGCGTCTTTCCGCAGTTGGGGGAACCCTCAGCCCCACTATAGGCCTGCAGTCTGTCGAGGGCTAGTGTGGGTTTTCTGCGTGGATGGGAGGGAAGGGAGAACTCCCTCTGGCGTTTTCCCCGTGAAGTTTATGCCTTTGAGGGAAACAGACTTGAATCAACTCTCCTTTTCTGCTTTTGCTACTTGAACTAAAAATATGCAGACAGGCGTAAATTTATCTACGCTCGAGTTGCTTATTCCTAGGCCTGGAGGGTCCTTGGTTCTAGTCATACAACTTTTAGGGTTTGGGGTAGTGTGACAGGTGTGATTATGTTTTTTGAGTAAACATTTCGGTTATATTTAATTAGAAAACTGGCATAACGAAATTAAAAGAATTCCTGCCTATCCAGAGTTGTTACTCTTCCCCGCCCCACCCACCACGGCAGATTTTGAATATTTTGATAGACAAAAACAAATGGAGAGGCTTGCTTATTTGAGATGTTAGCTAGTTAATTTACCATGAAAAAACTAGTAGTCACCATGTGGACTACTAAATAAGACCAACACAGTCTTACTTAGGGCGGTAAATGGAAGACTGCAAAAAAAAAGCAAAAATGAACTGCAACTAACTGAGAGGAGTGGCTGCTGGCTTGCGTGTGGATGTTGTGCATAACAATGAAAATTATTTGATAAAAATTGAGCAAGAGAGATGTGGGTTAATTTGATTTCCATTTTGTGATTATTTTTTGTTTTTTAGACGCAAACCAAGATTTCATTTTCAAAATGGAAAGTTCACTTGACTCAACTGTGATTTCACCCAGCACTCCACAGGCCTGTAAAAGTCTACCATCTCCCTGTACAAGTAGTTCAAGAAAACAAGTATGAAAATCTTAGTTATTCCAATGGATCTGTTCTAAATGTGGTGGCAGTGGTGGTTTATAAGTCTACTGAAGAGTGTTAATTAATATAATGTGTACATTGAGAAGTATTTTATTAGCTATTAAATAAGATAAGGTCACAACGTTCTAGACATTACTGGCAGGGTCTAGGTCTTTTCCTTAATTTGTAACTCTGAAACGCCTAGAGTAGCATTAGGCATGCGCTAGTTGCTGACCAAATGTTTGTGATTACTGGGCTAAGTGTCTCAACACTGTTTTTGAAGAGTGCTGATTTTGCTAAAATAAAATAAAACTAATGAAGCTTTGAAGAATTACATTTTGTGATGGTGTCGTTAGGTACATGGAGACAGCCATCTAGTGGTATGTACTATAAAAGTGTAAGGTCTTTATTTCTAGTAGATACATTTACATGAAGAACTTTTTTTTATTATTAACATTATAAATTTTTTGTGCTTTTTTCAGCCTATGAGTACAACACTTAGAGAACGACTAAGGAAAACTAGATCTTCATTTAATTCCTGTTGCAGTGTGGTAAAACGTCTTAAAGTAGAAAATGAAGAAAATAAGACCTTTTCAGAAAAACCATCTTCAAAAGAAGAAAACTGTTTGGAATTTCGAGAAAGTATTAAACACAGAGACGATGAATATGAAGAAAATACATATTTAAAAAATATCTTCAAGAATATCAATGTATGTGAATCTAAGTCACTTGATAGTGGGTCATGTACTGATCTCCAGGATGACTTTGTGAATGAAAATCTTCCAAAAAAAGAATTAAATGAAGAAAAGGCAAAATTGGTGAAGCAGATTCAGGAGAAAGAAGACCTTCTTCGGAGGCTAAAACTAGTCAAAATGTATAGATCAAAGGTGAGAATAATTTCAGAACCATTGCATAATTATTATTTTATTTTTAGATAAATGATAGGAAAGTAATTTCAAAAAGGGGAATAAAAGTTATTTTAGCATAATAAGCAATGAGCCAAGTACCCAGAAAATGACTTCCAACAACTTTAACTCAAATATAAGTCATAGGTTTAGATTTAAGTAGAAGAAGCCTAAGGCTGCTTTTAGACACCAGATAACGTTTTAAGAGCCCCAACTCATTTAATGTTCAGTTGGAGCTTGGGCCAAGTAAAATAGCCATAGAACTCAAGTGAGAGTTGTAAACATTCTATTTTGAAACATCCTAATTTTCCAAGGTAGAAGTCCCATTCATTACCAAGTGTGTTACCCTTTAAACCTACTCATCAACTTTCATTGCATAAGTTAAAATAGGATGCCTATCTAGTTATTGACATACATTTATGTTTCTTTTCCTGTTTCAGAATGACCTGTCTCAGTTACAATTGTTAATAAAGAAGTGGAGAAACTGTAGCCAGCTGTTGCTTTATGAGTTGCAGTCAGTTATATCTGAGGAGAACAAGAAACTCAGCCTCACTCAGTTGATAGACCAGTATGGATTAGATGATAAACTGCTACACTTTAACAGAAGTGAAGAAGAATTTATAGGTGTTTAATTCATAATTTTTTCAAGAATGTCTTTGAGAATGACAACTTTAAAGATACTTATATATTTTAAATGGAAGGTATAAACTATTAGGGCTTAGAGAAAGGTATCTTGATGAACATCAATTTAGGGCCTCTTATAAAAATATAAAATTTCTAAAATGAAAATTGAGTATTTTGGATAAATTTGCAAAAGAAAACTTTACATTTAAAGTAATGTAGAAAAAAAGTTTAAATCATGTTTAAAAAAATAATTTGGGCAATTCTGGAAGTCAGTTTTAATACATTGTTTTGTTTATTGTGGTAAAAAAAGTTTTATTTTAAATGTTAAAAAGTAGTCCAGTCTGGTGAATGTCTAAAGCGAAACTGATCTAAAAATGCCTGCCTCGCTCCTAAGTTTATGAACCTTGTTTCCATCTATTTACCACGTTTCCATGGGGATGGTCTAGTGGGTAATTAATTAAACTCCTATGTTCAAAATTACATCCCTGTATCTTCAAAAGTTTTTTGTATTCCTCATTTTATTTAGTGAAATGAACATCTATCTTTTACAAAACCACATATCCTCATCTCCTAATTCAAGGCATCATGGCATATGCAAGGTCTTTCACATTCATCCAACTTTTTAGCTTCATCTGTAAAATAGATTAAGAGTGTGTACTCAGTGCACAGTGACTCCTCAGCCAGAAACCCACCTTCATAGGGTTGTGTTTCTGGCTGCCATATTGTACAATGTTACCTGTCATCCTGGCCATATACAGAAATATGACCCAAGCTGGCCCAATCTGAGAATTTGGAATTTTGCTTGGGAAGGAAAACCCCATTTCTTTTTGTGGCTAAAACTGTAGTATGTAAACTTGGAAGCAGAAAAAGCTGGTGTACTAAGAATAGTGGGTGTCCTTACAAAGAAAGGCAGAGATGATAGAGAACTTTGTAGATCAGTGGTTTTCTGGATCTATTTTCCAGACGTTCCTGAGGGGCTTTCTGGATTTCTGCTTTTGGGTCCTTTTAAGGGCTAAAACACCTTTACTTAGTTTAAAAAAAATCTTAAAAAGAAAAAGTGCTTCCCTACTGATAGGTAAACAGCTTACCTTGAGCACCCTGTCCTCTGAATACACCCACTTTCATCCCAGTCCCTCCCTATGATCTAACAAACTTAATATTTCACATAGCAGGATACCTCAGGACCCTAGTTCTTCATCCATTCTAATTGTTAATGCCCATGCCAGTAACATTCCCCCCACACACATACATGCCAAATTCCCACTTTCTAGACACTGCCATTTTCATGGTTTCTCTGAACCGAGGACTGGCCTAGGCTTCACAAGTGCCTCCCCTGGCCCTAGGATTCTTAGATGGGCATCCCTGAGGAGTTGTGCTGTTTTGTGCCTACCAGCCTCTTTCACTGCTAGCTGCTCAGCCATAGAGCCTACATGTGGCAAGGAAAGTGGTTTTTCTTTGATGGGGCCGGATTTGGCTGCATCTACCCACTGTTGACTAGCACATCCCCTGGAGTCACCATTACACATCCACTTGGGGGAACCAGCATCAGTGGGACTCTGGTTCTGGGAAAGTTGGGGAGAACCCATGTGGGCATGGTAATGTAACGGGTAGTTGAAAGGCATTGGCTGGGTGCTGAGGGCTCCAACAGCACAGTGGACACCCCACAACAGGAAGTGGGTCATGAAATATGGGTGAGACTTACAGGAGCGTTTGGGGCCAAGGAATGATGCTCATGAGGCAGTCCCTTTTTTATCATTTCTGTTGAATTCCTCCCCCCTTTAATGGGATAAATTTATTAAAAAACACTAAATACCACACTTCTATTCATAAAAATAGGAGCTATCAGCTATCACTTAGCACTTACTCGTGCTAGTTTAAAAACATTTTAGTATTACAATGACCAACATTCCAATTTTAAAGATGAGATTTAAGATAAAGTGGTTATTTAAAAATTAAGTAGTTATTTAAAACTGAAGTGGCAGAGCTAGGATTTGAAACCAGGCAACTCAGCAGCAGAGCCCTACTCTTAAGTCCTATCCTTAAAGGTGTGCTATGTTTGACCTAATTAATTATATTATTACTAAATATAGATAATATTTTAAAGGACTTTAAAAATATGAATATAATTATTGTTCAGAAGCTGAGAGGAATCAGTACCATGGACAGTTATCAAGAGTGGGTTGGGTGCATGATGATGTGCCCTTCCAAAGCCAACCCCCCAAACCAGAAGATACCTCCTGTTGAAAAGTGCTGCACAGGCTGGGGGTAAGAGGGTCCTGTTAACTTCCACTCTATCCATGCCTCAAAGCTGAGGCATTCAAGCAAGGAGCATTGCCAGAGTCACCCAGGATGACCACTAAGAAATGGAAAGTACACAGTTGTTTGGTTTGTTAAGATCTGGGAACCCACTGAGCATTATCCAGTGAAATATGCAGCATTGCTTATGAGCAAATGGAGCCTCTAGGCAGCTAATTTAGGTGAAATAGAATTTGTATAACCAGAGGGAAAAAAAAGCCTAGTATATCCATGATTTAATCAAACCAACAGAACAGAGAACTGACAGTCCCATCATTAAGTACAAAGTGTTTGTACTCTTCACCCTTGGGTCCAGCTTCTCAGCCCCCAACAATCTCCATCTCAGAGATAATTTTGAAAGACCCTAGATGTAAGAAATGTTACTACCGTTGGGGTACTGTCCTGCTGAATCAGCCAAACTATTTCAGGGGTCATTCTAGTACTAAGGAGGGAGTCATCAAAATGATTTTGGTCCGATTATTTCTCTTACCATTCCATCCAGCACCAGTCAATATATGGGTGATCATGGTACCAGTATATATATGGTACTCTCCTGGCAGTTTCTGAATAGAAGATTTTAAATCTCCCAAAGATTTTTTTCTAAACAGAAGCTTTTATAATAGCTCTTTTGCTTTACCTATACCAGTGTACATTGGATATAGTGTTGTAGATTAAATTTAATTCACTAATTGCAGAACAATGGAACACTGACATCACCCGGAGATTGTAGTCAGTGATCCCTATGGTGTCATCTTGGAATGCAGCAGTCCACAGGCAGCAGAAGGGCAAAGCAGGTTTATGACCAGCTAATATCATCATCATCTACAAGAATATAGTGATAACTCTCATGAAAATGAGAGAACATTTTGCTGTTTGCTAAATAAACCCTGTTGGGTAGGGCACAAAATTGAGTTCTCTTACAATGAATATGAAATGTAGAAGATTGTTATATTTATGTAGAGGAAAATATGTTGTAATTTACAAATGGTTTAGGGCTTGGGAAAAAGAAACAGTTCACCTTGTTCTCATTGTTAGAACAGGGAATCATCTTAAATGTTCTGGTAAATTTTGTTACAATTATTAAGGAAGTGTGTACTGAAGGAAACTTTGGAAATATAGAAAAGTATAAAAATATACATAGGGGCGCAGGCCCCTCCTCCGTCACTTCCTGCCAGGCTGCGGGCGCCGGAGGGGCTGGGGGGCTGTTCAGCTTACGCGCGGGCGGTTGCTGCTCCAGGCTGGGCTCCTCCCCCTTTTCTTTGACCCCCCCCTCCCCCACCCGGCGGCGCCATCCTTCCCCGCGGTGCTACGCCTCTTCCCTTCCGCCTTCCCTCCCGTCGTCCCTTCCGCCTGTGTCTTCTTTCCTCCTTTCCCTCCTCGCCGCCACTGCTCAGACCACCAGCGGGGACGAGCTTGGGGTAGCAGTCAGGGGTTTCCTAGCCACGTTAACCTCTCAGAAGTGAACCAAAATATAGTTCCTCTTCTTAAGGAAGTGTGACCCTACTGTAGAGCTAAGTGCACTGTGCATGAAACTTGGGAAAAAAGCAATGTATAAGCCTGTCGACGCTTACTCCCGGATTCAGTCTACCTATAATTACAACACGAGAGGAGGTGCTTATTCCCCAAGGTACTTTTACCCATTTCCAGTACCACCTTTACTTCATCAAGTTGAACTTTCTGTGGGAGGACAGCAATTTAATGGGACAGGAAAGACGAGACAGGCTGCCAAACACGATAGTGCTGCGAAAGCTTTGAGGATCCTGCACATGAGTCCCCATCTGACAGGCTGGAGGCAAATGGAAGAGAATCGGAAGAAGAAAATCTCAATAAATCTGAAATAAGTCAAGTGTTTGAAATTGCACTTAAAGGGAAGTTGCCTGTGAATTTTGAGGTTGCCCGAGAGAGTGGCCCTCTCGACATGAAGAACTTTGTAACTAAGGTGTCAGCTGGGGAATTTGTGGGGGAAGGCGAAGGGAAGAGCAAGAAGATTGCTATAGCTGTTCTAGAGGAGCTGAAGAAGTTGCCGCCCCTGCCTACAGTCGAGTGAGTGAAGCCCAGAACCAAAAAGAAAAAATCCAGTCAGGAGCAACCCAGAATATGGCGAGGGGATGAACCCGATTAGCAGACTGGTCCAGATCCAGTAGGCAAAGAAGGAGCCAGAATACATGCTCCTCACAGCGAGGCCTCTCGTGCTGCAGGGAGTTTGTGATGCATACCACAGAAGGAGCAGACACCAGTAAGAAGGTGGCCAAACGCAGTGCAGCCGAGAAAATGCTGGAGATCCTTGGTTTCAGAGTCCCGCAGACTCAGCCCGCGAAACCCGCCCTCAAATCAGAAGAGAAGACACCAGTAAAGAAACTAAGGGATGGAAGAAAAGTTAACGTTTTTGAACCTGGCTCTGGGGATGAAAATGGGACTGGCAATAAAGAGGATGAGTTTAGGATGCCTTATCTTAGTCATCAGCAGCTGCCTGCTGAAATTCTCCCCATGGTGCCTGAGGTCATGCAGGCTGTTAGACTCAGTCAAGGACATCACACCAGACTTCATCAGGGCAGCTCCAAATCCTGCCAAGGCCATGGTAACTGCCATGATAGTCCGTGAATTGTTGTATGGGGGCACCTCGCCTGCAGCCGAGACCATTTTAAAGAATAACATCTCTTTAGGCCACATACCCCATGGACCTCTAACGAGACCCTCTGAGCAGCTGAACTATCTTTCCAGAGTCCAGAGATTCCAGGTTGAATACAAAGACTTTCCCAAAAACAAGAATGAATTTGTGACTCTTATCATTTGCTTCTCTCAGCCATCTCTGATCAGCCACGGTATTGCAAAGGATGTAGAGTCCTGCCGCGATATGCCTGCACTGAACATTTAAGTTGCTGTCTGAGTTGGACCAACAGAGTACAGAGATGCCAAGAACAGGAAATGGACCAATGTCTGTGTGTGGGAGGTGCTGAACCTTTTCTGGCCGTGAACCATGATAAAATCCCAACATACATACTGAAAATACTGAAACTACTTTGAAAGTTGGGAATTTCTGATACCTCCAGTGGGCTGAGAGGCGTGATGGGTAAAGAACTGGAGATCGCAGTGGGGATGAAGGTGGGAACAGAGGCAGTCGTGGCTGTGTACACATGTGCTGTAGTTTGTCGTCACACAGCTGCAGCTGCTGCCAAGTGGCCCTGGCTCAACTGGGAAACCAGCAGGTCCATGCCCCGGGCACCTCAGTGCTCGGTTGTGGTATCTTGTTTGTTTTACTTTTTGGCCATGTGAAAGAAGAAACGGAAAACAGAAAGCACGACCCCTTCTCAAACTGGCTCACCCAGACACTTTGGGACAAACCCTGGACCCCTGGCCCAGGAGACAGGCCTTAGACTGGCCCTTAAAGGTGAAAGCACCAGAGAAGATCAGACGCGTCCTACTCAGCACAAACTAGCCTTCCCATTGTGCTACTGCCCACCACCTCCTGTGGCACCCACCCACCACTGCTCTCTTTTCCGAAAGAGAGATGTATTCTTAGTTTTATTATTTTCTTTTGATTGAAATAACACAATGTAAATTTTTATTTGAGACTTTCTCAGTTGTATCTAGTTACACAGCACAACTTAGAAATTTGTCTGAAACTGACTTTATCAGTAGTCTAACCGGCAAAGATCAAATCCATGTGTGTGTGCTTACACATTTTTGTTGTATTGGACTAACCCAGGACATTGCAGTGATGCATAGGGTGTGAACAGTCCTGGCCTTCTCAGAAACCTTGAATAGTTCCTCTTCTTAAGGAAGTGTGACCCTACTGTAGAGCTAAGTGCACTGTGCATGAAACTTGGGAAAAAAGCAATGTATAAGCCTGTCGACGCTTACTCCCGGGAAAAAAGCAATGTATAAGCCTGTCGACGCTTACTCCCGGATTCAGTCTACCTATAATTACAACACGAGAGGAGGTGCTTATTCCCCAAGGTACTTTTACCCATTTCCAGTACCACCTTTACTTCATCAAGTTGAACTTTCTGTGGGAGGACAGCAATTTAATGGGACAGGAAAGACGAGACAGGCTGCCAAACACGATAGTGCTGCGAAAGCTTTGAGGATCCTGCACATGAGTCCCCATCTGACAGGCTGGAGGCAAATGGAAGAGAATCGGAAGAAGAAAATCTCAATAAATCTGAAATAAGTCAAGTGTTTGAAATTGCACTTAAAGGGAAGTTGCCTGTGAATTTTGAGGTTGCCCGAGAGAGTGGCCCTCTCGACATGAAGAACTTTGTAACTAAGGTGTCAGCTGGGGAATTTGTGGGGGAAGGCGAAGGGAAGAGCAAGAAGATTGCTATAGCTGTTCTAGAGGAGCTGAAGAAGTTGCCGCCCCTGCCTACAGTCGAGTGAGTGAAGCCCAGAACCAAAAAGAAAAAATCCAGTCAGGAGCAACCCAGAATATGGCGAGGGGATGAACCCGATTAGCAGACTGGTCCAGATCCAGTAGGCAAAGAAGGAGCCAGAATACATGCTCCTCACAGCGAGGCCTCTCGTGCTGCAGGGAGTTTGTGATGCATACCACAGAAGGAGCAGACACCAGTAAGAAGGTGGCCAAACGCAGTGCAGCCGAGAAAATGCTGGAGATCCTTGGTTTCAGAGTCCCGCAGACTCAGCCCGCGAAACCTGCCCTCAAATCAGAAGAGAAGACACCAGTAAAGAAACTAAGGGATGGAAGAAAAGTTAACGTTTTTGAACCTGGCTCTGGGGATGAAAATGGGACTGGCAATAAAGAGGATGAGTTTAGGATGCCTTATCTTAGTCATCAGCAGCTGCCTGCTGAAATTCTCCCCATGGTGCCTGAGGTCATGCAGGCTGTTAGAGTCAGTCAAGGACATCACACCAGACTTCATCAGGGCAGCTCCAAATCCTGCCAAGGCCATGGTAACTGCCATGATAGTCCGTGAATTGTTGTATGGGGGCACCTCGCCTGCAGCCGAGACCATTTTAAAGAATAACATCTCTTTAGGCCACATACCCCATGGACCTCTAACGAGACCCTCTGAGCAGCTGAACTATCTTTCCAGAGTCCAGAGATTCCAGGTTGAATACAAAGACTTTCCCAAAAACAAGAATGAATTTGTGACTCTTATCATTTGCTTCTCTCAGCCATCTCTGATCAGCCACGGTATTGCAAAGGATGTAGAGTCCTGCCGCGATATGCCTGCACTGAACATTTAAGTTGCTGTCTGAGTTGGACCAACAGAGTACAGAGATGCCAAGAACAGGAAATGGACCAATGTCTGTGTGTGGGAGGTGCTGAACCTTTTCTGGCCGTGAACCATGATAAAATCCCAACATACATACTGAAAATACTGAAACTACTTTGAAAGTTGGGAATTTCTGATACCTCCAGTGGGCTGAGAGGCGTGATGGGTAAAGAACTGGAGATCGCAGTGGGGATGAAGGTGGGAACAGAGGCAGTCGTGGCTGTGTACACATGTGCTGTAGTTTGTCGTCACACAGCTGCAGCTGCTGCCAAGTGGCCCTGGCTCAACTGGGAAACCAGCAGGTCCATGCCCCGGGCACCTCAGTGCTCGGTTGTGGTATCTTGTTTGTTTTACTTTTTGGCCATGTGAAAGAAGAAACGGAAAACAGAAAGCACGACCCCTTCTCAAACTGGCTCACCCAGACACTTTGGGACAAACCCTGGACCCCTGGCCCAGGAGACAGGCCTTAGACTGGCCCTTAAAGGTGAAAGCACCAGAGAAGATCAGACGCGTCCTACTCAGCACAAACTAGCCTTCCCATTGTGCTACTGCCCACCACCTCCTGTGGCACCCACCCACCACTGCTCTCTTTTCCGAAAGAGAGATGTATTCTTAGTTTTATTATTTTCTTTTGATTGAAATAACACAATGTAAATTTTTATTTGAGACTTTCTCAGTTGTATCTAGTTACACAGCACAACTTAGAAATTTGTCTGAGACTGACTTTATCAGTAGTCTAACCGGCAAAGATCACATCCATGTGTGTGTGCTTACACATTTTTGTTGTATTGGACTAACCCAGGACATTGCAGTGATGCATAGGGTGTGAACAGTCCTGGCCTTCTCAGAAACCTTGATGAAGCTTCCCATAGTTGTGTAAATTGGGCAATATAGAAATTTTAAACTTTAAATGCTCAGTTGGTTTCTTTTCTATTTTATTTTTGTTAATGCAACAGGATTTAAATGATCTTTGATCTTTGTTTTAAAGATTAAGAAAAATTGTGTGTATATACATATGTCTGAGGACACAGCTCTCACTACACTACAGGATATGATCTTCATGTAGTACATATCAAACTGCAGATTGACTTTCCTTGAGTGCTTTATACTGTTGATTACATCTCCATAAATAATGACCTGTTTCTCTCAAACTGTGTTGCTTTTTGTGTTGTGTTACTGTGCACAGAAACATATGCAGTGAGGTCCTGCACATGGTCCCGATGGATGCACAGTAGCCTTGTGAGTTAAGTATTGCTTTGATTCATTGTTTACGCTGGAATTTTTTCTCCTCATGGAACGTAAGTAAAACTTAGTGTCTGTCACCAATAAATGGTAATACTAAATTTCTTTTGTTAATTTATTCTCAAATGCCACTATGGCTAGGTTGGTCCACTCCCAACCGTCCGTCTCCTACCTTTTTTTATTTTTAAGAAAAAACAACTTTGTAATGCTTGTGATTCCATTTGGGCAAAATTCTGAAGATCTAAAATAACTGTATCAAACTAGTCATCAATAAACAGCTACTAATGAAAAAAAATCATCTATAATCTCAAAACTTTCCTGGTAATTTTATAAAATGAGAAATGCCAGTAGTAGCTAAGAATAATTTTTTTTGTATTTAAGACTTTCTATACTATTACCATGAAAACAAAAAATTAAGGCTAAATGAATAAAACAGATCTGGAATACTTTCTGAGTTAAAATCTCGTTCAAAATTCATATTTTACACATTCAGGAAGGACAAACATTTTTATAATGATTAAGGCTAAAATTAAATAATTTGCTTTTAAAAATATGCAACTAAGAAAAGGTCCTACTTAAATTTTCCAGATATGAGAGAAAAAGAGGTCATTTTAATCAAGTTATTTTTTAAATGATTGATTTGGCCTTGTGTTTCCCACCAGCGTTTTTACATTTGAGCAAGGGAAGGAAATGTTTTCATCCTTAGTCTTTCCACTTCAGCCTGCAGTATTGAAATCTGTTCAGCTTGTTCTTTTGAAATATTTATTAACTTTCTTTGTTGCATCATGTTTTCATATCGTTCTTTGGCAATCTTTTCACAAGTCAGTTTAGACCCTATTCCGAAAAAGAAGAAGAAAGGAATTATTGGATTATTATCTGTAATTTCAAATCTAGAAACAGTTCTCAGAATCAAACATGAAAGAAATGGTGGTAGCTTTATAACTACTGTACATATTTCAGGAATACTGATTACTTTTAAAGAGGAAGAAAAAAGTGCTTACCCATTGCATTACAGATGTCTTTTCTTTCTGAGACAGCCACCAACTCTTCTCGTAAATTGCAGCTTAGAGAATAATTTGCTACATCTTTTTGATTGCTGGACTTTCCCAGTTTTTTTAGTAGTTTTTTGCAGTTCTCCACATTCTTTTTGTGGGTCTGAAATTTTGTTCCCATAACATCCCACAAAAATAGTTTTGAACAAGTATATTTACAAAGACATTCTTAAAATTTAAGTTCATTATCATCATTAAGATAACATCACCATAACTCTAGTGCCTTGCATAAGCCTGCATATAAATTATTTGTTGAAAGATAGAATGGTATGTTAATACCACATCTTGGGAAAAATCTTGGTATATTCTTAAAAATGAGAGAAGATAAAAAAAACATAGCTTTGAAATTACTTTGTTTCCATCTTATATATGCTATGCAAAACAACATTAAGTAGTTATGAAGAAACAAAGCCTTCACAATGCCAAGAAAAGACTCTCAACACTTCTGTTACATAAATCATAACCTAATGTTAAATAGAAAATTCATACCCAGGTATCTGAGTATGAAATAGATCTATAAAATCTAAATATCTACTAACTAGATACTTAGGTATCTCCCAAGGGGTTAATTCTAATATTAAAAGAAGTGCTTCAGTCTACCACACTTGTAAGATTGCAAAGATACTATTCAGGGACCTCTAATTAGATCCTGAATATCAGTAAAGGACCAAGATTTTGTGGATTCTGTTTGAATTCTTGATTTGGAACACTATTCAAATGATTCACAACTGTTAGGGTTATAATGATGAATATCTTTGAGACCTACCTTATCTAAAACATCAATGGTTTGCTCCATTATTCCAATCTGAAGGGCAACTGACTTCTCATAATTTTGTTCATTTAAGTACTTTGAGAGAAAAAAAAACACATACATAAGGTTATTTTCTCTATTTCTCTCAGTAGATAACTTTATAAAGATTATCTTAGTTTTGAAAGTTACTGTTTCCATAAATATTATCTAATTTAAGATTGATTTGACTTTAGTGCCATAATATCAACTTGTATTTAGCCACTGATATGCTCACCTACATACTAATAGCTACAAATGCCTAGAGTTTGTTTTCTCTTTGATTCATTCATTTATTCAACTGACCAAATATTTATTATGTCTCATTTGAATCCCACATTAACAGAGAAATACAAAAATAGATAATGTGACTTAGTCTTTAAGAAAAAAAGAACAGGTAGATATGATTAGTTGCCAGAAATTGTATAAAGTGACATGTGAATTCAAAGGTGGTTTGAAATTTGATATGGACTGTGGAATTGAAAGGCTTTATAGATGAGGTGGCATTTAAACTAGACCTTGAAAAATAAAGATTTGAAATGTGAAAAAATAAAAAATAAAAGATATTTCTGGTAGAAAAACCAGTAATGACCAAAGGCACTATAGTAAAATCCTAGAAAATAATCAGTTTGGTTTGAGTATACTGATGTATGAGGACAGTGGGAATTAGTTTGAAGTTAGATTGAAGGACACTAAACACTCACCTTAGGATTTCATAATTCATTTGCCAGGTAAGAAGGTAACAGTTGAAAATGCTTGAGCAGAGTAATATGTTATTAGAGCTGAATAGGAATGTTAATTGCACAGCAGTATGTAGTACAGGTAAGAGAAAGACCTAGGGTCACAATACCAATTAGGAGGTTGTTATAAAATAGTCTAAATCATTGAAAAGGATCAGAACCAAGCCATTGTAAAGGCAGTGGGGATAGAGGATGAGGGAATAAATAGATGAACTAGTCAAAACTTGGAAGTCAAGAGAAAGTGGGGAATGAAAGATGACTACAACTTTAAGCCTGAGTGAGTGGCTGAAAAGAAGAGAAATAAGGAAATTAAGAAGAGCTGCTATTAATGCTATTAAGAGGTGGGAAATACAGAAATAGCGTTTGAGGGAGGTCAGGGCCAGGGAGCTTGATTGCAATTGGAATTGAATTGGAATCCTGAGAGTTTTCTAACTGAAGTTAGAAAAAAGGAGATCGTCAAAGGAGAGGAATGGGAAGAAACAAACAGAGCTAAGGGCAGAATCTTAAAGAATAGATATATTTCAGAGTTAGAAGCAAAAGAAATGAGTAAAGAGGCAGAATGATCTGACGCGTTAGACTAAAACAGGAGAAAACAGGAATGATAAAAGCCAAAGGAATGGCAGTTAAGATGGACAAATGCTACAGAGTTGAGGGATGGTGATGACTGCGAAGGGGACCTCTGGATCTGGCAATCAGGAAATCCCTGATGAACTGTAAGATAGGACTGTAGTACTGAATGGGTCATGAAGTATCAGAGGCAGCAAGTATAAACTACTGGAAGAAAATTCATAGACACGTTATGAAATCCTACTGGCTTAGAACATGCTTGGTGTCACAGAGGCCTCTTATTAAATACTGGCTGGATGAGTAAATACATTAATGAGTGAAATTTAATTATATAACGGGGCAGGGAGAATTTACCTTTTGACGATCTCTTGAAAAAAAGAGCATCTGAATATCCCAAGCCTTCTGATTTAAATCTTCCATTTCCATTTCCATTTTCTTATGTTCCCACTCAATCTGAAATATTCCTTTGTGGACGTCTTTACTTTCCATCATGCTAGCAACTTTCTTTTGTCCTTGAGTCTTAAAAAAATATATAATATGATTCTGCATACAGAATATAGAATATTTGAAGCTGAATGTTATTCTTAGAGACTTAGATAACAAAGGTAAATTTTTTAGAAATGTGGCAGGTGTTAAAAACTACTTCTTGGGCAAAATCTGGTCATTAAAAAGGCTGATAATCACTAAACAGGGGGGATTGTAAAATACATTTGAATGGCTTAGTCCATTTGCTTTGTATGTCAGTGATTAGACAGGAACTCTGGCCATCACCGTCTAGCAATCTGTATGTGTTTGTACCCCTCCTCTCGGCCCTGCTTCCTGATGCTGTAACAAAGGATTGTAGTTTAATGCACCTAGATACAGCGGTATCTAGTTCGTAGATTGTGGAAAAGCAAGAGAGATTGAATGGGTTAAATATATTTAGACACCTAGATGTTTTGCACTTCACTTCAGCTTGCCTCCATGAAGTTCAGGAATATTTTTATGTTCTCAGGAATATTTTCATGTTCTCCCGGATTGCTAATAGTGAAACTACTATGTCTCTAAAATAAATTCATAGAAGAATTTCATCAGTGAACATTTTTACATTTTCTCTCTATTCTCCTTCAAGAACTTAGCCTTCTGAAGTTCATGCCACTATACTATACTACCTGCTACTCCTTTTTTAAAAGTTATTTTCATTTTATCACTGCGTGGCTTCACAATTCCTTGAATTTTCCACTTTCGGTGATATTTTCTCCATCTCACTCAGCCACCCAACTTCTCTGATCATATGCTTGATCTTGTCATCACTAGCTCTAAAATCTTAAGTTTAAGTTTTTCTGTAGAGCAGTGTTTCCCAAATGGAGGAAATATTGCCTCACTAGGAAAAATTAAATTATGTTTGAAAACACTTATGCCTGACACACGAGGGATGCTATTGGCATCTAACAGGTATCTAAACTTTGTACAAAACACAGGACATCTTTTCACAACAAATAATCATTTGGCCCAAAATGTCAGTAGTGCCAGGGTTGAGAAACACTGCTGTAGAGCTATCACATCTCCTTTTTCCTTTCCTTTCAGTCAACTTTTTGCAAGATTTATTTGTAGTCATGCTCTCTACTTCCTCAACATTATTTCTTGAGGCACACTAATTGAGCTCCTACCAACCCTCACTGAGACTGCTCTTGCCAGGTGATTGACATAATGCAGGAGTCCCTCCTTCTTGGAACATTTTCTTTCATGGTTTTTCAGTTTCCTTCTATTTGACTGGCAACTCCTTCTCAGTCTCCTTAACTTGCCTCCTTCTCTGCTAGATCTTTCAGAGTTGGGCTTCAGGCTTTGGCCCAAACTCCCTCTTCTTAATATCTCTGCCACTTCCTCTGTGGTCTCAAGCAATCTCATAGCTTAAGTTATCTATATGTAGATACATGTGTATAACAATCCATATGTAGTTATTTATATGTGACCTGTATATAGAGCACTCCTAAATTTGTATCTCACCCCTGAATTCTGACTGACTGCTTAATTTTTCCATTGGCATATTTTATCGGCATCTTAAATTTAACAAAAGCCAAAACCCTTCATTCTATGTTCCCAGCAAAGCTACAGCTCCCCAGTCTTTCTCACGTCAATTAATGACACCATTATCTATTCAGTTGCTCAAAACTAAGGATTTATATTTGATACCTCTCTTCACCCATTACATTCAATCCATCAGCAAATCTGATAATGCTTGTTGGTCCTACCCTAACAACAGAAAAACGAAGGAGAATTTCAGACAGCTGAGATAAACAATTGCTGAGGGAGTCCACCATTAGCAGACCTACTTTACAAGAAATGCTAAAGGGAGTCCTTCAAGCTGAAATGAAAAAGCACTAGACAGTAACTCAAAGACAAGAAGAAAATTAAAAATGTAACTACATAGATAAATATAAAAGTATTACTGTAGTTTGGTTTGTGCTTTTTTTTCCTATATGATTTAAAGCAAAAATGCATGAAACAATAATTATAAATGTTAATAGACATAATTTATAAAGATGTAATTTGTGACAAAAAGGGGAAGGAACAGAGTTGTATAAGAGCAGTGTTTTATATACTACTGAAACTAAGTTAGTGTTAGTTTGTTATAAAATTAAGATGTCAGTTGTAATCCCCAGGGTAACCACTAAGAAAACAACTAAAATGTATACAGAAAAGGAAGAGAAGGGGATCAAAAGGGTATTCTGCAAAAAATCAACTATATACAAAAAGCAGTAATGAGTGGATGGAGGAACCAAAGAATAGGATGTGCAGAAAACAAATATCAAAATGGTAACGTAAGATCGTTATCAGTAATTACCTTAAATGTCAGTGGATTAAACTATACAATTAAAAGGCAGAGATAGGCACAATAGATTTTTTAAAAAATGAACCAATGATATTCTGTCTAGAGGAAACACTTGTAGGTAGATTCAAGGACACAAGTTAGCATGAAAGTGAAAGGAAAGGAAAATGAAAGGAAAAGATTAAAAATATATAGTAGGCCTCATATCAGAAACTCTGTAAGCCAGCAAAAAATGAACACCTTTAAAGAGAAAAGAATCAAAGAAAGAAACAGGTGGAGATTAGACCTGACAATCCAGGAACCCAGCAAACTATCTTTCAACAATGAAGGTGAATCAAAGATAATTTCAGACAAAGAAAAACAGAGAGTTTATTACAGGCAGACTTTCAATTCAGTGAAGTTAAAAGAAGTTCTTTAAGATGAAGGTATATATGAGGTGGAAACGTCACACAAAAATCTAGTAGAAATGAAATGGAAAACACTTTTTTCTTATTTTTCTTCATTGTAAAAAACAATTGACTATCTAAAGCAAAAATAACAATATATTGTGGGTTTAGAGCATTTGTAAAAGTAAAATGTAATGGCAACATTAGCACATAATCCTCAAAAGTGTAGAAGTTAAATAACACCCTTCTAAATATCCATGAGTCAAATAGAAGTTATGAAGGAAATTAGAAAACATGTTAAATGGAAAGAAATTAAAACAAAATATTAAAATTTGCAGAATGCAGCTAAAATAGTGCTTACAACAAAATTTATAAAATTAAGTGTTTATATAAAGAAACAAGATCTAAAATCAATTACCTAAGCTTATCTAAGATTATTATTAGTGAGTAGATTGAACTTAACATAACGATGGCATATTAGAATAAACATTTAACTCTGTGGTCCCGAACTTCTTAGAATTATCTGGGAAGCTTTTAAATTATGACCATGCTTAGGGGTGGGACCTGAACACATTTGTAAAGTTCTTCAGGTGATTCTAATGTACAGAGTTAAGAACCACTAACTTAACCAAATGAAAATGATTTATCATGGAAATGGGAGAATAATGAAAAATATTTGGTACAGCATGTGATACATTGTTTTCTTCTCCATAAAAAATGATAATTACCCGAATCACAGAATTCAAGTCTTCAATTATGTTCCTGTTGATGAGAATTGCATCAGAATACTCTAGCAATAACTGGAAGTTCTCCAGTTCTACTTGTCCTTGTTTAAGGAGAATTTGGATTGTCAAATTCAGCTGGAATTTCCCTTTCTCTTCCTGTAACCTAAATTGAAAAGGTCTTCAAAATAAGTAGTTATAATTTATTTATATTTCAAATGTCACATATTATCTGAGAATATAAAATTCAAACTTAATTTTCCTTAAGGTGAAGGAAAACATGCTGGAGATTAATATGGAAAATATTTGTCCAGATGTGAGCTTTATTAGATATCTCTATGATACCTCTTCTTATTGATATGGAATTATACTTGCACTGCTCAAAGAATGGTATGGACAGAAATACAATCATAAAGTTTTACTTTATGATTAAGAAAAGATTAATATAATTTCAATTATAAATGGGAGAAAAATAGAGATACTACCAAATAACAAGTCTTTCAAGTTTCTGATTTTATATATTGACTTCTGGTATTATATTTAAAATGTTTCTGTATGCTACTTATCAAATCTATTTCTGGGTAGTTAATATTCCTCCTTATAGCCTAGATCTGAACATCATTTGTAATAATGAATTTGGGAACATCAGGGAAGTATTTATCAATGTGGCTGTAAGTATGGCCAGAAGTGAAGCAAGGACCTAAATCAATATCCCAAACAGCCAAACATGTTAAGATTCCCTAAAGCTAAAGATATTAGCTGGTTAGGTGTCTATGTGGAAATTTCTTGAATATCTGCTTAATTTTCCACACAGTTTGTTTGTGTGGCTTAAGCCCGAAAGTACTCACTAGCAGAAACAAGTTCTTTGTATTTTCATGTGGGAGGAGTAGATTAAAAAGTACTAAGATTGTCCTCAAATTTGCCTATTTCTAATAAGAGCAATGGAACACGTGGGTAAGTTCCATTCTGAAATAAGGTCTTATGTAACAAAATGCATCTTTTCAAAGATTAATCTTTATAAAGCCCAGTCAGATGAGGTTTGTGCCAGACATAAACCAGTGAGTACACATTCTCCCTCTGTGATAACAATCTAACTTAGCGCTAGCTTAAACTTTAAATAATGAACATGAATGAAAGGTTCAAATTACAGGATGAGTTCATGAAACACTTTTTCAATTTCCTGTTGCACCTTCTCATCATCCTCAACTCTCCTCTGGAGGAAAGCTGACATTTCCATTAAGCCGGCTGCTTTCTGCTTTACCTGAGGAAACCAAACCACAAACATCTCAGAACTAGAGAAACTAAAAGCAAAGTAATTTTTAAAGAACTTAAGAAAACATTTAACTTTGTTGTAAAACTTTCACAAGCCCATCTTTCTAAGAGATTAATAAAGATTTAAATCCCTGCCATTAGGTAACATAGGATGCCTAAAACATGGTACATTCCATGAATGATTTGAAAAGTATCAAATTTGCTTCTCACTGAAAATCAAGTATGTAGACAACTGGAATTTTTCTTATGTCTTACTTTAAAATTTGTTCTCATCATCTTAAGTAAAATTATAAAATCATATATACTTTAGCAAGAATATGCCAGCCTGAT